TATGACCAAACACTTGCATTTTAAATCACGGATTGATATCATATGTCTGATTTACACACCAATGACAAGATAGGTGTGTGATTCACATCATTTTGAAACAATGGTTTTGTCTTGACACTGGTCTAACGTTGCTACTATAAATTATTCTTTAAGTGTTTTGTGTAGTGTATTTGTCTTTGTAGTATTGCCTCATAGTTATACAAATGAACGTGTTAATATATTTAACGTTGTTTCATGATTACAGTGATAAGCATGGCCACAGAAAATTTAACAAATTTCTCATTGAGTTCTATCGACTGATCCCAGAGTTGTCAAGTTTAGTAAATATTACTTATTTTCTAAAAGAAAAAAAAGTATTTCACTGCTTTATCTCAGAGTGAACTATAAGTAGCATTTCTTTTTTTTTAGATTACTCTGTAATAATTTTTGGAATAGTATAATACGTTAGAGTTTTTAAAACTTCTTTTTGTTTTGCAATACTTATATTAATTGCAACTTTTATCATACGTGTTAAAAAAAGCAAAGGTAGTATGAAATAATGAGATACCGCAATAAAATAAAAAGCATTTACATTTGGAACCTCACTAAGATAATTTCCAGGGAAGATTTATAAACTTGAGTTTTTGATAAAAATTACGTAAATAACAAGTTCATTGTTCGCTTCATCAAAAGACAAGAAGTTCACTCGTTGTTAAGTTTTTACACTACTATGAAAGACAAAAAAGAAAGTTAAAATGATGTAGGGAAGTGAGCTTGGTTGAGAAACTGACCTCAAAGTTCTTTTGGCTCTGAAGATTAAAAGACTGATAAAATCCCCTCTCTTTTACGTAAAACATGACATTAATTTCACCAGAACGAATCGGAAATATCGAAATAAACAAACTCTGACAATTTAGCGTTTTAAAAGCGATTAGAAACCAGTAGCAAAAAAAAAAAGGAAACATTACCACGCCAGATATTTTATATTCAAGAAAAACAATGCCAGAAAGACGAAAGCGTTTTAGATTTTAGTTATTTTTAAGTTCAGATTTTTTTATTCCAAGCTTTGCAAAAGACTTTCTGAACCTTTCTCTAAGAAATTTAGTCCCAATTTCTCCATTTCGGACTAGAAATAAAAGGTATGTAAAAATAAAATGTCAGATTTATCTTGCGTCTCATCCAAGTCACTGGCTAAGATTTTCCTCAATACCACTCGTCAATTGGGATGAACGATGAGAGACAAAAGATCCTCTGAAACGTTATATATATGTTGTATGCATGTAAACCATAAAGTGAGTTTTTCTTTACGTATGTTATTTCAACACTTTTAATCTGCACCAGCAAGTGTGACATTCTCTCTAAAGTAAACTATATACGTGTACAAATACACTATTTTAGTTTTACTTTTTTTCACGTTTAGAATAATTATGAGAGAACTTTGAATAACTTATTCCGTGAGCTTTGCGTGTGTATATGTGTCTATGCCTAGTGGTCAGAGCGCTCGGCTCACAAACTGCGGATCGCGAGATCCAAACCTGTAACCGAAAATTCTCGCCCTTTCAGCCATGGTAGCGTTATAATGTGACGGTCAATCCTATTATTCGTTGGTAAAAGAGTAACCGAAGAGTTGGCAGTGAATGATGTTGATCAGCTGCCTTTCCTCTAATCCATCACTTCAAAATCAGAGATGGCTAGCGCAGATAACCTTCATAGCATTGCGCGAAATTCAACAAACATACAAATACATATTCAAACACAACTTGTATACTTTACTTTTATATTGAAATCCCATAAGATATACTCGAACCTGCTGTACATGTACGAAACATTTTTTTTTGTCCACTTTTGTCAAGTGAATATGGGCTCGTAAGTAAATATCCTCTTTCTACAAGAAAGAAAACCATTAATTCTAACACGTGTTGGTTTACGGCTAGTATACTAGGTGTTTTTTGCTTGTTTGTTGTACTTTTGAAGAAACATGAGCTTCATATGTTTACTACTCTCCAGCTAATGTACAGCTGTGTTCTGGCCGATTATTGCCTGGTGTTATGCAATATCGATTATCCACAGTTCTTGGTAAGTTGGTTGATTTACATGCAGCTGAAAACATAACTAGTGAAAAACAAAGTGGAGCGCATGAAGTATAATCATTGAAATGGAATGTTTTACTTGGACGTAAAAGCTAATCAGGCATGGTACGTAATATTCGCATCAAGCTATATTTGTGGCTGAGTATCTGTGATTTTTTGCTTATTAGCTTTTTTTCATTTCTTTTCCAAGAACTTGCATCACATTATAGAGATCTATACAGTATAAATAACATCCTTTAGGACAAAAGTAAGAGAGAGTTGAACGTAATATAACCAAAATTAACACTTGTATTTTACTTTGAATTTCATGGACGCGTTGCCTTCTAAACCACAAGGGGCTAGACACTGCATTATGACTAACGAATAGAAACTGACAAAAGAGCTCAGTATAAGAACATTTTGAATTGTAATTAAAATCTGAAAAGAATTGGACAATGGCACAGGTTGGCACTATGGTGGAGCTATGGATATTGTAACTGGTGAGCCAGGTTTGGATCTGTGGTAGTGTTGGTGATTGGCTGTCTTAACTGGTGAGCCAGGTTTGGATCTGTGGTAGTGTTGGTGATTGGCTGTCTTAACTGGTGAGCCAGGTTTGGATCTGTTGTAGTGTTGGTGATTGGCTGTCTTAACTGGTGAGCCAGGTTTGGATCTGTGGTAGTGTTGGTGATTGGCTGTCTTAACTGGTGAGCCAGGTTTGGATCTGTGGTAGTGTTGGTGATTGGCTGTCTTACCTCTGGGACGGCGGCAGATTGCCTTATAAAAGTAGCTTTGTCATACATTCAAAAATAATACAAATGCATCTGAGAAATACATTACTACTTAATAGTAGACTATTAATAAAGATATTATCATGAAATTCAATACAGGACATTTGTTAACTTGTTGTGAAACTAAGTCTTGTGGTTAAAGATTCAGTGACATTGCTTTTATTACGTAAGTACATATGGTCACCAGTTGAAAATGCTCGATATATATATGTATATATATATATGTTTGGGGGTTGGTTTAATTTTACGTTAAAGTTATTTCTAAACATTAAAGGCAACTGCCTTCCCACAACTGGCTGTAGACAGCGAAAGGCAGTTGGAGTTGAGACGTTGTGGTTTCAAGCACTCAACTCCTAACCCATAACTGATTCTCCTTAGTTGTTGACAAGTTTTACATCGGATTTTGCCTGATAGGTGGAATATCCCCAACGCATATAGGTGCTATGACCACGGGCATTATCCATTGTAACCTAAGTACGTCAACAAGAAATTATAACAGAGTCATAATTTTGAGTTTCTGTTTTAATATATTGTTTCTGGTTTATATTAAGTTCATTATTGTTTTATAGTGCTGATTTTAATCGCCTATGAACAGTTAATGTATTGCATAGCATTATATATATATTTAACTAGCTGAGTTACCAGGCGTTGCACGGTGAAAATTTAGATTTGAAATCTATAAATCAGTATTTTTTCAGCAAATTATTCAGTAAGTAGACAAAAGCTGTGATGCGAGATATAAAAAAAAACATTTAATCAAACAAAGCTTATTTGAAATTAGATCGTGTTTGAGCTTGTCTTGTTCTTTGAGCCTGAAGTCGTACATCATGTTGCTCCTCTGTTTCTTGCTCTCTCTGTAAGTTATTTGTCTTAATTTTTGTACTTGAAATCTGGTTTGACGTTGTTCAGAAGTTTCTTGTTGTCTATATCCAGTTTGCCTTGATGATTCTGACTGAACCCTGGCTTTGTGCTGTTCAACAGTTTCTTGCTGTCTTTGAGTAACCTGCCTTTCAGCTTGAGCTCGAAGTCTAACTTTACGTTGTTCCAAAGTCTCTTCCTGTATTTAAGCAGCCTGTCTTGCAGCTTGTGCTTGAAGTCTTTGATTGCGTCCTTCTTTATGCTTGCATTCTTTTAGCGGTAGAAGACTTTCCATAGAAAGGGCGTTTCTTGGATGGCATAATCACCTGTATCACTAAACAATAATTTGCAATTCACAAAGTTACTAAATTACTTATGAAACCACTTAGCACTAATTAAAGAAACGGTTTTTGGAAATACTGAATTGACAGCAAGGTGATTTGAGTGTTATCCGCCATAACGCTTTTTATATGCAAAACGTGCTTGTGTTTGTATGTTTATTACAAAAAAAGTATTACAAAAAATGGCGCAGTAATCATTAATTGTCAATTTCGTCATTAAATACTAAACCAAATACAAAATAAGTAGCACCATTAAATTTCTTGTAAAAAACTGATTACTATGAAGTTATTTTAAAATTTGCAAGTTCAACCGTTTGGTTTTCTATAGCGAACAAAATAAACAAATAAACAAACTTCCTTTTTATATATATATAACCAAAACACCAATAAGATTCACCTGTGGATACGAATAAGAAAACACTGTTCAGAAGACAATTGTCCCCCAGTGGGTCAGAGGTAGTTTTATAAGTTTCGATTCCCTGTGGTGGGCAGAGCGCAGATAGCTTATTGTGTAATTTTGCGCTACAAAATGAAGAAAAACTGAAGACAATATTTCAGGAAAATTACCGTAATGTAGACATGCAACATTTTAAGAATGAGGATTACGTAAACGTGTGATGTTTCCAATATTCTCATAGTTTGCATGCCTTGGGCCACTGGTAGGACAGCGATAAGTCTACGAACAACGTTAATATCCGAGGTTCGATTCCCTGCAATGGACACAGCAGATACCCAAATGTGGCTTTGCTCTAAAGCCAAGCACATATGCCTTGGAGTAGCAAGAATGAATATTTCATAAAAGAACCACAAACAGTTTGAGCTTCCTGTTGTAAATATATATATATATATATATATATATACTTTACTAGTACACTTGTGTATATTACTTTATGCTGTATGTTAAATTTCCCAAGATTGAAGAGTGTTTGTAACACACGATTTTTAAGTTTATAATATTCTTTTAGCTGAACCCTGTTACAAAGCCTGGCACCCAGGAGAACAAAGACAAAGTGGAAGAACCTCTTAAAACTGTGAATGGAGGACCGGCAGAAACCAACGTTCATTCTACACCCGAAGAGAAAACGGAAGAGGTTGTGGATTCTGTGGACATGCCAGTACCAAGGTATCATTTCTTTGGTCTTGTTATTTTTTGGATGCCTTAATTATATTATGTCGTTTTAAGATATGGACAAGAGGAATGGTCAACCATGAATCATTCTTTGAAGGTTTTACGGTCCGTCTAACAAATTGAGATATTTGTTCTACCAACAGGAAACGTTAATAGAGTTTGACAAAATTTGTTGTAAACGTTCATTCGTTCAAAGTTTCATTACTGTTTCTTTAACGTGTGGGGATATGTAATGCAACTTATAATCGTTTTGGTATTATACACAAAATACTTTACGTGAAATTGGAAGAATTTTCACATCTTATTTTCCAAAAGAAAAAGCATAGCATGTATGTACAATTCCATTTGCTTGAGCATATGACATTTCTCTCTATAGCCTGCTTTGACGTCATCTACTTAGTATGTTCATTAGCGAAATAACCAGGAACTGGCCTGTTAGATGACTGATACTGCGCTCTATAAAATAAAGTAATGGTTTTACATATTTTTAGATATATTAACGCAGATATATGGGCCAGGCTTTATTAAGTGTTCAATTTTATGTCTCCGGTGTTCTGGGACACATTTCTTGGAATACACACCTTACACAAATATATAATAATTTCTAAATGATAGACGATGGACATATCTTTCCAAACATATATAATATGTTGAGTTTTTGTTAAGTTTTCCAGCAAACCAAGGAAATAAACAATGGTGGGGTGTTAAAAGTAGCTTGTCACCAGCAGAAAAATTAATTTCAAAGCAATAACACCAACACAAAAATTGTAAGTATGACTCAAGCCTATACTGTGATTATTTTGTTATTAGCTGATTGTCCCATTACTTTTCACATATAGAAATATCCAAAATAACATGTTGCCGTTATCATGTGTTCTCCTTTACGGTTGCTTATTTTCAAGACAATAATTAAAAATTTTTGAATAAATAAAAATATTAGAGTTTAAAATCAATCCGAGAAATGTATAATTTGATTTCATCATACTCCATAAACAGGATATCAATAGATATTTTGGGTATGTCCATTTGGAGCTTGTAATATAATTAGTTTTTTAAGCACATCTCCTTTACGCATGTATCTAGTATATATACTTAGCTTATGTCAGTTTGTTATATCATTATACACAACAGCCAAGACATTTATTGTTATTAATAATTGAAAGGGTAATAGCAGATTTGTATTCTTCAATAAAAGTCACTGAACATGAAATTGCGTGAACTCCTTCATGTGTTCTCTTTTACATCAGTTTTGCTTCAAAGGGGAATATATAGAGTGTATAATACTTTTCCCGCCATATTTAGTTTCCACCATGTGCAGATGATTAGGGTAGGGTGGATTTGAAATGTATTCGTCACAAATCAACTCATTTTCCTGCAAGAAAAGTCCTTGAACACTGGATTACATAACAGGTGTGTATCTCTTTAACTGTATAACTAACATTCAAATGGTGTGAGTGGTGGTAGTTTTAGGTTTAAATGACTGGTGAGTTACAAAGCTAAATCTGTGACCGATAATTAGGGGTCTATTTATAAAAACAGATAATTGGTGTCATGGTGAGATGCAAGTGAAGGAGATCCCCATTATAATTCAATTTCTTATATATGCTTTGCACTTCTTAGTATAATGCCACATAATAATAAAAGCTTACATGTGAAATAGTCTAATACAAGATAACTATTTTTATTAGCCTACTATAGTTGGATTTATTGTAGAAATGTAAAGGAGATCACATTAATTTCTACACCTGTCTTTGCTAATATACAGGAGTGTTATGCATTTCAGTGATGGGTTTCATATTTGTATTTTGAGAATGAATGGTAAACAAAGTCAGCAACTGAAACATTATCACAGAAAAAGGCAGCAGAAGAGAAAACCTTCTTACAATTTGTTTGCATTTTTGCCTACAAATTCCAGGTATAATATAATCGGGTAAAGGAGAACACATGTGGAAAACAGTAGTCATCTTCATCAAGGTGGAGAAATATGACAGAATGTAGCCCTAGTGCTAGATTTTTTACCCAAGGTTTTTCAGTAGTTATCTTTTCAAGAACTTTATAAATCATACTTATAGGACAAGATTTTTTTCTCAACATTTTCCAGTTGAAAAATGGACACTTAAGAAAGCCTGGCCTTTATTAGTCATCCGGAATCACGGTCCCTAAAGATTAACTCTTCCGTAAGCACAATTGTTCAAGGTTAGGTCCTTTAGAATCACAGCTTCTAAGAATCATATCTTCTGGAATCGTATCTCTAAGAATTATCGTTTTCAGAACTATAGATGGTACGGGTATCGTCTTCAGAACCACACATCTCCTAATGATTATCACCTCGATATTCACAATTTCCAAAGATTACATTCCCTAGAATTAGTGTTCAGAAGGGGTAGCTCCTAAAGGTTTTAGAATCACAGCTTCTAAAGGATAGATCCTCCGGAATCATTCAAGTTAAAAAAAGGAATAATGTGTGTTTTTATTATGAAATTGTGGTATGTGATACGGAAATTGATTAAAGTATGTTAAGTCATTAACTTACGCATAAGTTTAAAATTCAGTATAAACTAAATAATTGGATAAGTCTGCAATGCTGTAGGGAAAGAGAGGGAATGGATATTTAATGAAATGTTAGAAGGTTCTGTTCAAATCTTGAATGTGAAACAAATGTAATAACATTTTATAAATGTAAAATTCTGTAGGGATGGTAGTGCCAAAAAGAATGTAAACAAGAACATAGGGATGATACAGCTATACATAGATCATCCCTATACGAATTTCAATATTAAAATTTAAGAGGTAATGATAACATTACACTAGAATTGTGTGTTTGTTTTTTAATTACTACTAATTATTACGACTAAGCAATGACATCATGCAATGCCCAGGGACACATAGAGTTGATTTAGGTTTTAACTGATAATATTGATAAAGTAGTTGAAGAGTTATCTCAACTGAAACAAGAAGAAGAAAGATGAACAATTTGATGGGTTGGTCACTTTCTGGTTTGGTATCTTAGCGATGTTTTTTTTTTTTTGCCTTGTTTTTGGGCTTGTTAGACAGAGAAACAAATGAAAGTGAGTGACAGTCATCTTTTAAAGTAAAACTATCTGTCATTGTTGATTATGCCTATTTGAGTACTTTGGCTAAAACCCAAAACTGAAGATCGTTTTACATAAAGTAGCCCTTAATATAATGTCGTGTAAGAAATTACCGAGCATCAGTTAGGCTTTCATACGATGTCGTGTAAGAAATCGCAGTATATCGTTGTTTTGTATCATTTAACTTTTAACGCGTCATTTCGTGAGGAAATAGCCGTAAGATCTTCTTGTACAAAACAATTATTATTTTTTTTCTCTTGTATATTTCATTTCCTTGAAATTTAAATAGTGATTAATAAAATATCTGTAGCTATAATAACTAATTACATTTTCTTTCCTCATCTACAATCTTGTCGCGGTAAAACGGTCATTACCAATAGCACGCCGTGCTTTACCCGTTCACAGTCACGTCATGGTAAAACGGTCATTACCAATACCACGCCGTGCTTTACCCGTTCACAGTCACGTCATGGTAAAACGGTCATTACCAATACCACGCCGTGCTTTACCCGTTCACAGTACGTCATGGTAAAACGGTCACGACCATGCTGTGCTTTACCCGTTCACAGTAACGTCATGGGGTCACGACCATGCTACCCGTTCACAGTAACGTCATGGAGGTCACGACCATGCTGTTCTTTACCCGTTCACAGTCGTCATGGTAAAATGGTCACGACCATGCTGTGCTTTACCAGTTCACAGTAACGTCATGGTAAAATGGTCACGACCATGCTGTGCTTTACCCGTTCACAGTAACGTCATGTTAAAACGGTCACGACCATGCTGTGCTTTACCCGTTCACAGTAACGTCATGGTAAAACGGTCACGACCATGCTGTTCTTTACCCGTTCACAGTAACGTCATGTTAAAATGGTCACGACCATGCTGTTCTTTACCCGTCCGGAGTCACGTCATGGTAAAACGGCCACTACTACGTTGTGCTTTTTCCCGTACACATACACGTCATGGTAAAATGGTCATTACCATGATTAACTACTGCAGATCATTCCCCTTAACAAAATTCCTGTGAAGTTTGTTTATAAACAAGTTGATGATTTCTGATTTACTTTTTTCTTCCGTTTATTCGTCGTTAAAACCTACGGGTACATAAAAGAAGTTGAGCTGAGTTACCAAGGCAAGTATGTCATCGAGTATTATTAATTGAATCTGCACAGTCAAAATCATAGAAAGATTATATTTACTGCTTGTCAATTCAATGGCACCAGTTGATTGGATTGACGTTTCTCTGCAGGCGAATAGGGTCAAAGATGGGCCCTATTTTGTTATCCAGCATAATTTCAACATCGTTACATCTTGATGACATCATAATCATAATATTCACCAACTTCCATCCTGTGAATCAGCTACCAGAAGAGTGTCAAAAATTTACATAAGCTTTCTGAAACCGGTGGACGGATATCAGTGAAATCTGTCATTACATCAGAAGGCACACTGTGGAATATGTAGTTTTTACTGCGGAGTTGTAGCGTGATGACGCTTTGATTTCAATTTGGTAAACATAAAGATGGAATTTACATTTAAAAAAAAAATGTGTTCTTTACGAAACAATTTGCTTATATCTAATCACGAGACGGATGTGAAAAACAAAGAATAAAGTTTTCTTACTGAATTCCTATTAATATTATGTTAAGCACATTTTTTATATGTTGAGAGGAACCCAAGGCTTCAAAATGGCACTTTTTTTTTTCCAGGTCCATGTTTCAAAGTTGCACGGGCTCGGCATAGTCAGGTGGTTAGGGCGCTCGATTCGCAATCTGCGAATGTCCGTCACACTAAACATGCTCGCCCTTTCAGCCGTGGGGACGTCATAATGTAACGGTCAATCCCACTATTCGTTGGTAAAAGAGTAGCCCAAGAGTTGGTGGTGATGACTAGCTGCCT